TTGTTTATAATAGAAAGAGGGAAATGTTCATTAATTTAAGTATTTGCTAAACTGGAAGGAATGGAGGATATATGTCAATATGAATCAAATGTTTGTTGTATTTTCTTATTTTAATTTGTATATATTTTAATTGTTCTCTCTCTCTACCCATTAAAGATTCCAGTGCTGAATATTCAAATGAAAATTTTTCCTGCACTTTGTACTGTAGCAGGGACCATATTTTCCTGTACAAATTACTTCCGTGTAATCTTCACAGGTGGTGTTGGAAAAAACGGATCAACGATAGCAGTGAGTACATGTTAAGATTTCCAGCAATTGTTTATACCAGGACTTGGTTTTGTAGTTGCTTTTTTTATTTGAATTGTATAAAATACTGTTAATTTAGAGTTTCTGCTTAGTCTTAAACAAACGTGATATCCAAACCTTCTCAGTTCTATCTATACGTGCATACGTTTATATGCTTACATGCATTTTTTTTTGTGCATGCACACACAGACACATGCATATTTATGCACATATATATTTTTAAAAGTATGATCGAGGGCACCTGGGTGGCTCAGTCGGTTGAGCCACTGGCTCTTAGTTTCAGCTCAGGTCATGTTCTGGGAGTCCTGGGGTCAAACCCCGCATCGGGCTCCACACTTGGTGTGGAGTCTGCTTGGGACTTCTCCCTCCCTCTCCCTTTGCCCTTTCCCCACTTGTGCTCTCTCAAATAAATAAATAAAAATTTTAAAGTAAATAGAAGTATGATCTGCTTTGTAAAATGAACCTGGCCATGTAAGTAAAATCCTCAGTTTGGGCCTAACCAGCCCATGCTACTGCTTTCTTCCTTAGCTGTTCTGGTATTCAGTTACAGAAACTGCTGGCTGGCAGGCACCATGAGGCTCTCAGAAGTTTGAGCTGATCTGCCTTACAGCAGATCCAAGTGGTATCTGACAGTATTGAGTGCCGTTAACCCCTCCCCTCTCTTTACTCCGCACAGGGAACAAGCGTCCTCTCTCCTTTTCTCCATATTGGATCGGTGATTGCCCTAGCTGCAATGATCTATAAGAAATCGGCAGTTCAGCTTTTTGAAAAGCATCCCTGTCTTTATATACTGACATTTGGTTTTGTATCTGCTAAAATCACTAATAAGCTTGTGGTAAGCACCAGAGTTTTTATTTATTTATTTATTTTTAACATTCATCTTGTTTTGGTTTTATGGCCCTAGTTTTCATTCCACAGCTTCCCGAGCAGTTCTAGAGTTTGCTGTCCTCCATCAACATGGGAGCTCTTTTTCTCTTCTGAGAAGCTACAACTTGACATTACCAGAAGCTCCGTGGACCTGCGCAACACTTCTTTCTACTGCAGCTTAATTTGGTGCTTTAGTTTATCTGCCTTCTCCAGTCTCAGTCTGTACATTCAAATTAAGGCTCTTTATGAAAAGCATCTTTTGGGGGGCTTCGCTACATGGGCTGTCCCTTTGGTGTATAGCTCTCACACATACTTCTTGTCAATTTTTTAGTTTTGGAAATTCGACTTTTTATTCAGTATTGCTAAATAATTCTTGAAACTTGTGATTTGAGCACAAAACTGATTTACTGTGTAGCTCACAGTTGCTCTAGTATGAAAATGCCTACATCACGGTTTCTCTTTTATTTGCAGGTGGCACACATGACTAAAAGTGAAATGCATTTGCTCGACACAGCATTCATAGGCCCAGCACTTTTGTTTCTGGACCAGTATTTTAACAGCTTTATTGATGAATATATTGTACTTTGGATTGCCCTGGTAAGTATTGTACTGTGTCCTATTTCATGATTTGGAAGCCACTTCTTTTCTTGTTTCTGTGGGCCAGTCCCAAAAGATAAGATCATATAATTGTAATGATTTGGCATGCCAGAAAACCACAATTATGGGACTTTGCAAGTTCCTTGTGGCTTTGTCTTTGAGCCATTTTTTGCATTATTCTTACTAGTCCTGCCTTTGTCAGGGCTTAAAAATTCCAGATTTCTGACTGTAAAGTAGGAGCTGATAAACTACATCCTGTGGGCCAGTGACCTGTTTTTTGTAAATAAAGTTTTATTGGAACACAGCCATGGCCATTCATTTCTGTATTGTCTGTGGCTGCCTTCATGCTACGGTGGCAAAGTTGAGCAGTTGAGATGCAGACAAAGCCTAAAATATTTACTGTCTCTCAGAGTTTGTTGATCTTTAGTGTAAAGGAAGAGTCTGTGAGGAAATTAAGTTATTAAATCGTATGGAATTGAAGACGAATCTGAAAAGAAGGGAAGAAAGTCAGAGAAGCTCCTCCTCTTTACTTTCAGGAAGCTCAGGGATGGCCTAAGCAGGTCCTGAGAATCTAACGGTCTCTCTTCTTTCCAGGTCTTCTCTTTCTTTGATTTGATCCGCTATTGTGTCAGTGTTTGCAATCAGATTGCGTCACACCTGCACATACATGTCTTCAGAATCAAGGTCTCTACAGCTCATTCTAATCATCATTAATGACGTAAACTCGGTGTTATATAGGAAACTCCTGTTTTCTGCAGGAAAGAATCTGAACATATTAAGGAGAATGGGGTGGATAAGAACAAATATAATTTATAATAATCAATGTTGTATAACTTTTCTTTGTTATTAGTAACACTCCTTAACTATCCTGTGTGAGAGTGGGAATTTCAGGTCCCATCTTGTAATTGTACATGTTGTCATACAGGGTTTGGCCCGAGGAAGCATGCAGGAAAAATTGCCACGTGTTTGTAATTATCCTGGATTCAGAATAAAATTGTCCTGGGGAGCAGATCCCCAGTGGTGGAGATGTCTAATGTAAAATATTTGCAGGCCAAAAGATGGTTGCTTTATAATTTTAACAAATCATCATCTTTTAGTGACATCCTTGTTTAGTGTCTTCTCAGGCTTTCTTTAACTAAAGAGCTCAGCTTGTGGCACAGACATATCCCACTAGCTTATGAGATGGAATTAGTGATAAAGACCTTGAATTTGGATTGAAAGGTTTCCTATCTTTACATTGGTGAGGAAGTCATTTTTTTTATTGTTCAAGAAATGGTATCTCTCATGGGCTTGGGAAATCTGATTAGCATGCAGAATAATGTGGTAACTTTGTTGATCCATTTTATTTTTTTAAATAAATATATGACCTGAAAGCCAGCCTTTTTCTCAGTTTTATTCAGTGGAAAGATAACTAAGTTTTAATGTCATTTTTAAAAATTCAAGCAAAATTTATTTCTCTTCTTTAATAAATAAGGAAATTCGGTCAGCTGCTTTGTCATTATGTGTCCTGCGATCTTTCTATTTTGTATAAGCTATTTAATTTAAAACCTAGGAGAACTAAAAAACAGGAAACAAAAAAATGAAACATAGGAGAACTGTGTTCATTTTCCCTCTCAATAGGTTTTTCTTTTTTTTCTTTTTGTTGCAGTTGTCTTTTTTTTAAAGGCAGCATCATTTATTTTTAAAGATTTATTTATTTATGTGTTTAAGAGTGAGAGCACGAGCAGGGGGAGGGGCAGAGGGAGAAGCAGGCTCCCCACTGAGCAGGGAGCCCAATGCGGGGCTCGATCCCAGGACCCTGGTATCATGACCTGAGCCGAACGCAGAGGCTTAGCTGACTGAGTCACCCAGGTGCCCTGAGATTATGTCTTAGGAATCTCAAACCTTTCCCCCAAATTATCAAGAAGAGAGGCTTAGGCCTCTCTGGGCAGTTATTAAAAAGTCATACTCCTATTCTGGCTCCGCAGTATACTACAGTTGGAAATGAGAACCAGGTTTCTTCACTAACTATAATCCAGATCTGTTTCCATTGTGTGTAGATAGTACAGTTGCTTGAATGGAGGGGGACAGCAGAAAAGAAACTATTGGCTAAAACAAGGTATCTTCTTACTGGTTTTTATTTATACCCTGTTTCCGTAACCGTGGGTGAACAGTAGCTGCACTGCCTCAGCTGGCAGGCGGAACTCTGCTTTCTTGCACTCTTAACGCTTCCATTAATCCCATGTAATCTTGAGTAGCAGTGGCCGTGAAACCTTCCATTTCTTTGCTAGACTTTAACAGTAAAGAGAAATCTCTGTTTTTGCTTGCTAGCAACTTCTCCAGCATCTGGGGTAGAGAAGTGCATGCAGGAAAATGCCAGGGCACATACACACATTAAAAAGGTGAAAGTTTTGAAAGACCAGAGGCTTCTAAAAGTTTCCCACCCCTTGCAGTGTTGGAACAGAAGCTGCCATTAGAAGTATAGAGGGAAGGGGCACCTGCGTGGCTCAGTGAAGCCATCGACTCTTGATTTCAGCTCAGGTCATGATCTTCAGGATTGTGGGATCGAGCCCCACATCAGGCTCTGTGCTCAGTACCAAGTCTGCTTGTCCCACTCCCTGCCATGCTCGCTCGCTCGCTCTCAAATAAATAAATCTTAAAAAAAAAAAAAAAAGTATGGCGGGAAGATGGTTGAGGTGACCACTAAACTCCTTTGGACGCTTAAGATTATAATACTCTTTTCTGAAAGGGAAAAAAATGGCATTGAAGCAAACCCTCTACCTGTAGCTAAAGAGTTGAACTGGGCTTCTCAAAATCACCAAGCAGGAAGTTGGATGTCTACAACTGAAGGCTCCAAACCAGAAGTGATGGGCAGACAGACCTGTCCATGGAGGCAGCGTAGAGCTCTTTCCCAGCTTCTGGGAACTGAAATTTCTTACCCTCAAGTTGCCCTAGACCGCAGAAGCTTCCCTGGCCAGCAGCCTTTCCTCCCAGGTTCTGGAAGGCACACGTGACTGGAACCAAGAACTGTTGCCCTGTCCCAGTGCTGTTGCTTCAACCAGTGTCCCCCGCCTTCTGTTAGAAGCAGAGCTGCTGACCGCATAGCTGTCCCAATGCAGCAGACACAGCCCCAGAGTTCGGGGCCACTGTGCCCACGTCCCCCCTCCCAGTCCGTTTACTCTCATCTGTGGCCTTGTGCTCCTGGTTCTCCCCCCGCCCCCAGAGTGGAAGCCAAAGATAACACATAGACAACAAGGAGATGTTCATCTTTATTCTTAGCTTCACATGTCCACAGACTTCTTTTTATGTGGAGAGACGGAGCCTTTGGGCCACAAGTGCTTTCCGTGTTGAGGATTTTGTAATAGTGGCTCCTGGAAGAGGGCAGTCACGGCGGCTTCTGAAGCTCCTCAGCACTTGTGCTAACTGCGGCCTGCTGCCCTGCGCTGCCCGTGCAGAACATGCCGCTTGGAGCCCAGCTCTGAGCACACAGGCCGGAGCCTTCCCAGAGTCCAGAGAAAGCTGATTCCAGGGGTCCCAAACCCAAGACCTGGCTACCAGGACCTGGAAGAAGGCTGTGGATTCTGGAGGCGGTGGCGTGCTTTGCCGATCCACCATGCTGGCAGGGGCCAAAGTCCAAAACGGGCCTGTGAGTCCAGTCCCTCCTGTTGACCACAGCTCTTACTTCACAGTCTTTTCCCTTGATTTCTTCTGTTTCTTCTGTTCCTCATATTCAAGTATCTTCTGTTGGAAGTAGCCTGTGGGTTATACAGGTGTTAGAGGCATGTCATCTGGCCAGGCGGACGATGATGAGTTTAGCAATGGGGATCAGAAGTAACCTCTCTGCTCCCCGTGCTCCCCCGCCACACCCACATTCCTGTTAGGATTCCCATGTCCTCATGGGCCTCTCGAGAGCCAGGTACTCAGTTTGGCCCCAAACCGGGGCTACAAATAGAATAATTAATAGAAATTAGCTCCAGACTAAAACAACAACTTGGACAAAATGGCAGCCCAGAGGCATTTTCTGAGGCTTCAGCTTATTTCGGTCCAACCCCACCGACAAGACTCCCGTCTATTTTGCGGGCTTCCAGAGCCAATGCTCTTCATCCTAGTGCCACACCTGACTTGGAGGCAGTGACCCTCTCTGGCCTTGGAATGATAGGAGGCTGTCACCGTATACCTGCAGGGGGGTTCCTGCTCTTCTCCGCTTCCTGGATGAAAAGAGAGAAGAGCTGTGTCTTCACAAACTTCTTCACAAATCGGCGGTTGGCCTTGGAGGTCAGAGCCTTATAGAAGGCCCGTTCTTGGAAGTGGCCTTGCCCATTTGCCTCCCGCTTGATATAGGAAGCATAGTGGCCCACCGTCTTGACAAAGAACTGCACAAATGGGCCCGAAACATGCTCGTTGAGCTGTTCTGAAGCTGCAGGAGACACACACAGGCCATCTCAGAAGAACCACCCACTCCTGCCTCCATGTGGCTTCTGAGGCAGGCCGAAAGCTCCTGGGGAAGCAGCTAGGGTCAGGCTCATGATTACTGATTAAAATGGGAGACTGGGTACAGGTTCTTCACCATTGCTTGGGAAGACTAAAATCTCACACTCAGACTTGCCCTAGAATCTAGGCCCCTGAGACTGGCCTAGGACTGCTGAGTGAGTGCATTTGGGTTCTGGCTGGGATACTTGGGAATCCTGCCCTCAGGTTCTGTAGAGAAACCCAAAATAAGGGGGACCCAGGACTTACTCTGTGGCTCATTGGTCCCCTGACCAAGGGAGTCTAAGATGTCATCCTGAAGCTTGGGTGGAAGGATATCTTTTTCGTCACCAACCTAGGAGAGGAGAGCTCGGAAGTCAAGCAGTCCGGGAGGAGGTGTGCAGTGTTGGTAGAAAGCCTGAGGAGGGCATGAATTCTACACCCGACTCCACCCCAAGTTGGTCACGTAGGAGAGAAGCAACAGAAGCCGCTTTTTGGCCTTCCATCTGACTGTAAACATTAGCAACTCTCCCCTGTATCCCTGTGGCACGGGGTTTACATCCCTGCTCTAGAGGCACCAAAACCGATTGCCTGGTAGTGAAGCCGTTTGCGTCTTTGCCACGGGCTCCTAGAGAGAGATCTTATTAGCATGGGTTCTCACCCAAGAAAAGCACTTCAAGTTTGTGCGAGGAGGTGGCGCACGGGAGACACTAGAGTGATGGAGTTGGTGGTGGGCCTGCAGGGGGCCGGAGCCCAGATACTTACCGACATTAAGAAGGTTCCTTCGCAAAGATTCACCAACAGGACCTGAAATAAACAGAACGAATGGCTTTCTCTCTTCCCATCAGAGACCTCAGGAGCACAGCACCTGCATTTCTGCCTGTGGCTGCACCTGTCGGCCCAAGTGGGCAACAAGATCAGCACCGGCAACTCTCCCTTCTGCCTGACACCCTCCTTTCTCACCATCCTTGGAAACCCCAGGTCCCTTCCTGGGGAAAGGTAGGAGGGTGTAGGAAGGGGGAGGAGGAGCGCTGAGGTAGGAGAGACTACAACTGGGGAAGCCACAGCCGGTCACTCTCCTAATGAAACACTGATCGTAGGAATGGCTTCTATATATGGAACATTGAGCACACGGCACACATGATCAGGCTTTGCACATTTTCTCTCCCTCAATCCTCCCCACGCTCCTGTAGAAGGAGGCACTATCCCCATTTTGCAGATGAGGAACCAGAGAAGTCGCCTGAGGTCCTACAAATAGTAGAACCGGTTTCCAAGCCTAGATCGAGCTGTCCTAGGTACTGCATCCCTCTCCTCCCCACGCCTTCAGCTCCCTGCCCTCTGATCAGATTTAGGCCAGCAGTGTACACCTTTTGATCTTCTAGTGCTTGCAACAACTTTATGTACGATTGCCCGGGAGTCCTACTTGAAAAACTCCCTGGGATCGTTGGGCCTTCCCGGAGGAAACAGGAAGAAAAGGAAATGAGCCCAGGGCAACAGGAACAGGGAAGGAAAGGCAGTGAGGAGACCGTGTGTCTGCAGGCGGCGGGGAAGGCGAGCACAAGGCTGGCACTTGAGTTCATCACTGCCGGAGCGGCCCTCCGTCTAGACCTGACATTACAAATTGGCATCCTGCCGGTTAGAGTCCAGCCTGCCGATCTGTTTCTTTGAGCCTCAGAGTATTTTTAAACAATTGAGTTGGTTTCCAATATTTAAATTGGAAAATTTCACATCAAATTTGCTTTGGGGGCTTCTGAAAAGTCAGTAGCTCTAACACTGGTTGGTCCACGTTTCTAAAGGACCATGTTCGGATGGAACGGAGTGCAGCTGCCTCCTTTAGGCAGGACCTGTGCTTCGCAGTTTACCAGGATCCCCCAGAGTCTGGGTTGGTCATTTAAATGCCTGTTGGGCCCATCTTTTCAGTTTAGACTCTCCGTATTTCAGTACTGTGAATGATCCTTCTATGCGCCCTTCTTCCAAATAAAGGGAAAGAGGAACAGGCAAGTGTGCCAAAAGACAGAACAGGCAGTGTAATCATTCATCCTCAGGGGAGAAAAGCTGAACTAGCCCAGGCCTGAGACCTCTTGAAGACACAGGCTCAGATGCCTTTCTTTATTCAGGGAAGGCTGTTCATTTCAGGGAGCTAAGAATGTGCATGAAGAATTTTTTTGTGAAGTTCCCCCAAATCTTTCCAGTATTTGCTATATTATACTGCCTGTCGAGGAATCCCTTCCAGAGCTTCTGTGGGCAGAGAATCCCCCCACAGCCACAGTTGGCCCCTGGCCCTCCCCCTTCCTCATCCCCTGCCCATTTCACAGAGCAGCTGCTGAGGACTAAAGTGGGCCAAGGCTCTTGGATAGCAGGAGCTGCAGTCTGGCTGGCCTTGGGGTATCTTCCTGCCTGGCTGTTGCGGGGGGGGGGGGGGGGGGGCTGGAACTGCAGCGTCAGCAGGTTTCATAACTCCTAGGGGTGGGACATTTTAAGTCATTGCCAAACATGGGGCTGCTACTCTGACCCAGTTAGTCACATGGAAAGGCTGCTTCAAAGGGCCCATCTACTCAGCACTTCTGAGGTCTGCGAAGGCCAAGGAAGCGAGGAAGGGAAACAGCCTGTTTCTTTACTTCCCGGCAACACTTTGTATAAGAAGGGCTTTGGTTGCATCTGTGGTGCTAGGTTCCATCATTGCCTGTGTGGCCTCAAGTGAGTCAGCTGAGTTCTCTGGACCTCCGTTATTTCTTACACAAGTGGAAGAAGTCCTCCCACCAGGGCTGGTTCCTGCCTCTTTAGTAGCTTACGAGACCCTGCCTCTTCCCTTGGTCAGCCCTTTGCACAGGGGAGTCCATGGTTAGCCAGTGCAGACGCAACTAAGTAGCTCTGGTGGCTTGAGATTACAGTAAGGTGATCTTTGGAAAGTGGCTACCGACAACTCAAAGCAGAGTGCACGTTTTGAGTTGTTTTTCCAACACTGGAGATAGCTTTATGCTACCAATGCCCATTTTCACCACTGAGCCCTCTGGTGTGTCTGGGGCATTGCTAAGAAATAAGATGACAAAATCAAGGGGGATCTGGACCTATCTCCTCATTAGCCAAGTGCGCTCTGAGGTAATCAGAAAGATAACTTGGGGCGCCTGGGTGGCTCAGTTATATATCTGACTCTTGATTTCAGCTCAGGTCATGCTCAGGTTTGTGAGATTGAGCCCCACATCGGGCTACGCACTCAGCTTAAGATTCTCTCCCTCTCCCTCTGAGCACCCAACCCCCCCCTGCACCGCCACTTGCATGCACACACACACCCTAAAATAAATAAATTAATTAAAATTATAAAAAAGTTAACTCCTGCTACAAAAATCTGCATTTTTCAAGACTCATAGTTTGTAGGAGGGCTACGTTAGCTCACTTGCAAGGAATGCGAATGAATTCTAGTGGGCTGTGTGTTGTATAGACCAGCTGTGCTTGTCCATTCAGATGAGAGATAGGACAGCCCAAAGCCTGCCCTTTGGAACTAACTGACCTAGGACAGCTGAATGACCCCTGAATAAGCTGCCCCTTACATCCAAAAGGAAATCGTTCAGGAGGAGGAAGCAGCCACTTACTGAGCATCAGTTATGTTAGGCACCAGGCTATGAGCTTTTTGCAGGTTATTTCCCCTCAAATCCCTAGCACTTGAACACCGATATCCCCATTTTACAGATAAGAAGCTCAGGCTTAAAGAGGTGAAGCAACTTGCTCCAGGTCACACAGCTGTTGGCAGCAGAGCCCAGGTCTGACTCCAGCTGTGCCTGGCTCCGAGTCATGCCCTCTTCTAGCACCGTACCTCTTCCATGGGGCTATCCATGACCTGCTGCTGAAAGCGCATTTGGACTCCGACCATGAAGGGAGTGGGGCAGCAGACAGTGTCCAGAAGTCTCTCGGGGACAACGGGGATGTAGGTGTGTGCCCAGCTGAAGGGGTAGAGCAGCGCGGCAGCAGCATGGATGCACTGAGACAGGGTGCTGGGGACAGGGCACAGAGAACACGAGTCAGACAGGCCTCCCTGTGCCTCCACCCCTGTGCAGCCCCCATGGCCCCTCCCCCGCCAACAGCAGAAGCAAGTCTGGGAGCTGTGCTGGTCGCAGAGCTTGTGAGGATGGGTAGCTGGGAGCGGAGTGACGGAAACCAGGAGAGGCTGAGCCTCCTCTCATCAAGGACAGGGCCTCTCTCTGATCCTTCTTTTCCCAGTTAGTTTTCTCTCTCACCTCTGCACAAAAACACTAGTGGCCCCAAAGAGGAGGGGAGAGGAAATGCCTTCACTCCAGCGAATCATGGGGTGAGCCTTCTATAGGCTTGCCACTGCACTAAGGATGTGGAGACCAGGAAGTCCAAGGCACTGACCCTGCTTAACAAACTTACAGCGTAGTTAAGGAGACAAACATGTAAACAGAGGAACACAGCAGAGAGGCCAAGACCTATTTCCTCCTTGTGGCTATCCACCCTCATCCAGCTCCCTCTGGCCCCTCAAGATTATTTAAAGTTAACAGGTTGGTGCCTGAGTTAGCTTGGGAAATTCCTAGATTCCAGGAACCTTTGCCCAGCGATTGCTAGCCGGAAAGTCCCAGAGAGGTGGCTCCTCCACCCTTCCAGTGAAGCATTCCCTGCGTGATCACTGCTTTGGTCACGGCTCAGGCAGACTCCTCACCCCACCCACCCTCCAACACACACACGCAGCCCTGCTCTCTCTCCTCTCCACGGCCTCTTCATGGCTCTCCATTTCTCCAAACAACCCTCCTGCCAAGGCCAATAAAAACACGCATGCAGGAACCCTGTTCCAGTTCTTGGTATGGAGCTCACAATTCCTGAGTTAGAAAGACTGAGTCTCTGAGGGTCCAGCCAAGGCTGAGGCTGACTGGAAGTCCCCTCCCTACCTGGGCTTTGGGAGCCTGGCAAACTCCGTGTGGGAAGGAAATGGGGAGTGGTGGGATCCCCCTGGAGAAACTGAGCACCTGAGTGGCGAATCCTACCAACCTGGGCCTGTATCCAGGTCAGCAGGCACCTGGAGTCACCCTCACTTCCTTAACACTGATCTCAGGGGAAAGGCAGGAACCCCAGCCCTAGCCACAACAGAACCTTCTCTTCTACAGGATTGAAAGTGGAAGTGCTATTTCCAGAGCGAAAGATTACACCACTTCCCTTAAGGATTTGGCTCACAATTAGTGCCTTTTTGGTTATCACTGATTTTGTAGAAGGTTCAACCCACAGCCTTTACTCCCTGCCCAAACTTCCTTTCCTCTAAAACCCATGATATCCACCTGACCCTCTGGCCTAACATTTGAGTCCCTAACGTCCTTTTCTTCTTCTTCCCTAAAAGACAGAACCAGGGTTGTCAACCCAATCTCATTGGCTTTCTCCCTCCCCAGACAGCAATAGACGGTCAGCCTCCCACTGTTTCATATTTTTCTCCTCCATTCTGTCACATGTCTCCCCATGTTTTTCTCAGACTTGAGGCCCCTAAGAGGCAGAGACCAAGACATGACAGTACCCTTCTTTGACTGTGCCCAGAGATATCTTCAACTGTTAACTTATTATTAAGGATAGCAGCTAGCTTTTGCACAGCAAAGGAAGCCATCAATAAAATGAAAAGGTAACCTACAGAATGGGAAAAGATGTGTAGATGATATATCTGATAAAGAGTTCATATCTACAATATATGAATTCCTACAACTCAGCACCAAAAATTATCATCATCAAGTGACTAAAAAATGGGCAGAGGACCTGAATAGACATTTTTCTAAAGAAGACATACAGATGGCCTAACAGACACATGAAAAGATGCTCAACATCACCAATCGTCAGGGAAACGCAAATTAAAACCACCATGAGATATCACCTCACACCAGTCAGAATGGGTACTATCAAAAAGACAAGAGATGACAAGTGCTGGAGAGGATGTGGAGAAAAGGAACCCTCGTGCGCTGTTGGTGGGAATGCAAGCTGGTGCAGCCACTGTGGAAAGCAGTGTGGAGGTTCCACAAAAAATTAAAAATTGAAATACCATACAACCCAGTAATTCTGCTGTGTGTTTACCCAAAGAAAACAAAAACACTAATTTGAAAAGCTATGTGCACCCTTATGTTCACTGCAGCACTATTCACAATAGCCAAGATATGAAAACAACCCAAGTGTCCATCAATTGATGAATGGATAAAGAAGATGTATATACAATGGAATATTACTCAGCCATGTGAAATAATGAAATCTTGCCATTCATACCAACATGGATGGACCTAGAGAATATTATGCTAAGTGAAATAAGTAAGACAGAGAAAGACAAGTACCATGTGATTTCCCTTCTATGTGGAATCTTAAAAGCAAAACAAAACAAAAGCAGAAACCAACTCATACATACAGAGAACAAACTGGTGGTAGCCAGAGAGGAAGTGTGAGGAAGGATGGGCAAAATAAGCAAAGGGGGTTAAGAGGTACAGACTTCTAGTTATAAAATAAATAAGTCGTGGAGATGAAAAGTACAGCATAGGGAATATAGTCAATAATATTGTAATAATATTGTATGGTGACAGGCATTGACTACATCTATCCGGGTAAGCACTGCATAATGTATAGAATTATTGAATCAATATGCTATACACCTGAAACTAACATAACACTCTATGTCAACTATACTTAATAAAAAGTAATATTCAAAAGAATAAAAATAAATAAAATAAGTAAAATTAAAAGACCCCCCCCCCCAAAAAAAATCCCAGCTAGCTCTTACCAATATGTATGCACTTGGGAAAGGTGGTAGGTACCTGATGTGCACTGTTTCATTTAACCCTCAACACAACCTTATAAGGTAGGTACAATTGCTATCTTGATTTTACACATAAGGAGATCATGACTTCAAGAAGTTAAGAAACTGACCTAAGGGGAAGCATACAGCTAAAGGTGGAAGAATATATTGGATTTGAACCTTGTTCTGCTGATTTCAACATCTCTGCTTTCAACCACTAGAGAATTCTACATATCCTAAGATGTCAATGACCATGTCTAGTTTGTCTCTATCTTCCTGATGTTGACACACAATAAATATTTGTTGGATGAGTGAATAAATGGATAGATGAGATGTGTTTGCCCTTAAGGATGACGGGCTTGGCCTCCATACCAGCATACGCCTTCTCACCCTGTCCTGTGCCCTGCCTCCCTCCCTAAGCCATCAGGAGTAGAATCACATCTGCACCCACCCTGACTGGTCTCCGCCTGAGCTGTCCCAGGAACACTTCAAGCCCTGCTCAGAGCTAAATCTGGAAATTTCTTTAGGCTTAGGAAGCAATCAAGTTTGGAGGCAGAAGCAGGGGAATTGCAACAGCTGTTTCTCTACGAGGCTTAGTACAAAATCAGACCTGGAGGCACGCAGGTCCTACAGCCGGATTCCCTCAGAGAGCCCTCCAGCCTGTCTTCTGAACCCGGGGGTGCCTGTCAGCCCAGGAGAGCTGCTCAGCGGCTGGACCCACCTGAGACCTTCTGCCAGAAAGATGATTCTTCTCTCGAGCACCGCAGAGGCAAAGATCTGAAGGATCTGCTCAAAACGGAGACAGCGCAGCAGAGAACTGAAATCCACGTGTTCGAGGTGGGAGTCCAGGGGCCGCGTCAGGGAGATGAACTGCAGGGGAATCAGAGAGAGGAGGGATCGCCACACTGAAAAATCACAGGGCCTCGAATGTTGGGCCTCCACCGGCCTCCGCTCCATTCGACCCTCCGACGTACATCGGACCCCGCCCCTCCCCTCCTTTCCCTCGCGCTCAGGGCCCTGCAGACCGGTCCGGAGCCTGGTCCACAGGCTGGCCTGCGCCCGCCCCTCCATGCACTCTTCCTGCCCAAGGGCCTTCGCGGCTCAGGCCCCCTGGTCTCCGCCTCCCTCCGTCTCAGAGGCCCCCTCCAATTCGATGTGTGTTTCCCATCATGTTCTCAGGAAGCATCCTGTGCCTTCCCATTCATCACTGTCACGCCATTTTAAATAATATACTTTCCTCGTGCGTTTACTTATTGAACATCTGTCTCCTCTGCTAGACTTTAAGCTCCAGGAGGTCAGGAATCGCATTCATTGTATTCACCACTTCATATCCAGAAAATAGTACAGCTTGGCGCATGGCAAGCGTTCCGTATTTATTTTGGGAGAAAGGGGAAAAGCCTAGTCCCTCCCCTTGTCTTTAGGTGGGGAAGCCAAGGTTCAGAGAGACACACGGATCCTCCGCAGTCCCCAGGGTCAGGACTGGGATTCTTAAAACAATGTCCTACTTGGTGCCTCGGTCTGCTTAGTGCCTGCAACTGTAGCATCCCCGTGAGGCATGGGTGGGGATGGATGATAAGTAGACTGACGGAGGCCATCAGGTAGAGATCCTGGACACACACGGGAAGACGAGGGGGGGGGGGGTTGTGGGGGTTGTGGGGGTTGTGGAATGGAGACAAGTGGCAGTTTGGGGGCTGTGGGCATCGTCCACTCTAGCACCAGGAACCTCAGCTTACATGGTTTATTATAAATACAAGTCTCGGTGGCTTGAACAGTAACGAGGTGCTTGTGAGCTTCAGGTTGGGAGGATCAGAAACCATGGGTTTGACTCTCAGCTCTGTCGGTAATTCCAGTCGGGCCCCCATCCCTGCCTGGCTCAGTCTGTCTGTGCTAACCTGGTGGATGGCAGGACTGAGAGAGCGGTGCCCCCCACCCCCCCACCCCCCGCCAAGCCTGCCCTCTCCAGCCAGGGAGGGGCTCATGTACTCAGTAACCCACCTCCGTGCCTGAGTCGGGGATGAAGCTCTTGAGGGTGACGGTCTTCCCGGGAGCAGGGAAGGCTGCCTCTCGGAGGCCCTGCATGAACGGGTAAATTACCGCCATGGAGATCTGGTGCCTCTTCTCCACCTCATCCAGGATCTGCAAGGCAAGATATGGATTGTGGGAGGCAAGGCTCAAAGGGAGCCACTGGGAGGCGGCAGAGGCCCCACGTGTGAGCCTCCCCCCTCCACTACCCCACCAATCCCATCCCTGCCCTGCTCCACTACCCCACGAACCCCACCCCTGCCCTGGTCCAGCCAATCCTTGAGGACCTTCCAGGCCCCTCCACCAACTGCTTCCCTCTCCTCTCTGGCAGAGCCCCGTCTGCTGTTTATCTCCTGCGCAAGACGAGACCTGCTGCCTTCTTCCTCTTACCTTCTTTACCAGGCCCCATTCCTCCTAGCTGCCTTTCCCCCAGGAGTCCTCCCAGAGTAAGTCATCATCCACGATGGTACCATGTCCAGTCATGCTGGATGCAGTGGGAGCTCGAAGCGTGGGCCTCTTGGGTGACACTCGGCCCTCCTACTTCCACTGGAGACTCCCCAGAGCCAGGGCCAGACTCCATCCCTCAGAACACTCCGCCAAGCAAAGGTGACAGTGTCCCCTCCCCATCCTCCCAAAGGCCTGCTAGGGGCAGAGCACACTGAAGCTCTTGCGTGGCCACCAAGACACACCCGTTCATTCTGGGAACCAACTCAGGTGTACTGACGCCCCAGTTACTCCAGCAGGAGAAGCCCGAGAGACCTCCACCCTCCGAGGAGTCGGAGGGAGTCTCGGAATAGTATACTATGACTCTGTATAGTAACTATCTTCATTATTTGTTCAGTGTTCCGTGTTTCTCACGTCACTTCATCGGAGCCTCGCGCCAGACCGTGAGTCGGGAGGTGAGGGATCATTGCACAGCTTTGCCAGATGAGGAACGGGAAAATCCCGCCTCCTAACCTGGGGCTCTCCCTGCTTTCCTGCTCCAAGTGCTTTCTTCCCTGACCAGAAGGGGAGCCTGGGCTCTCTGCAGGGGAGACAGGCCCCTGGGTTCAGCGCCCACTTTTCTCTAAAATCAAGTTGAGCCCAAGCTCCTCTCTGCCTCAGTTTGCCCAAATGTGCCTTGGTTTTCCCCCGGCTGTGAGGGAAGAGCTCCACTCAGGGCCCCGGGAGCACAGATGGGTCAGGTGGCCAGGCAGACCTGGGAGCTGAACGGGCCCAACAGGCCCCGAGGAATCCCGCTCCACCTCTACCTTGGAGAACAGGCCGAAGCAGCCGATGCAGCTGATGATGCAGTACACCTTGGGAAGGCGAGGGCCACGACCGGCAGGCTGGGGAGGGACAGAGAGGCTCCTTCAGTGCTGCAGCCTCCCTAGGGCTTCTCCCAACTGGGGCTGATGGGGCACGAGGCTGGGGCTGGGGGGCTCACGGGGGAAGGGGGTGGGCAGAGGTGGGCAGAGGTTCTGTTTGTGGCACGGACAGCAGGAAGGCCGGAGCAGCCACCCAAGTCAAAAGCAGATGGCCTGGAAGGGGCCAAGCCCTGCCACCACCAGCACCAGCACCACCTGGGGTCTGCAGAGTAAGGGAACAAGAGTGCTGTGGAGACGAGGGAATGGCTAGAGACGACAACACTGTAAAAGTGACTTGGAGAATCCTCTCAAGACCCAAGAATCATTGTCTGAATCCCGGTCTACGCTCTGGGAGGCTCCAGGGCCCGAGGCAGCTAGTCCTGGGTACAGAAGCTGGAGGGAAGATTAAGTAGGAGCCTCCCACAGGGCGAGCTGTTGAAAGCCTGGGGGAGAGCAGAGACCACAGCATGGCCAGTGAAGGTCCCCGGGTGGGGAGAGCGGGGCCTGCGTCCCCATTCCTGCAGGGGTGCAGAGGGCACTAACATGGCAGCAGGTGCTGGGCTGGGCTCTCCCGGCAACCACCACTGCCAGGGAGCCTTGGCTTTTGCAGCTGAAGCTTGAACAAGCCCAGCTGTGGAGCGGAGCAGGCCGCAGAGAGGAGGGGGCAGTTCTGAGCGGCACAGACCAAGAGGCGCCTGCAGTATCCGATCTTCCTGCTCCCATCCACGTTGGTCAGGACGAAGGAGAAGGTCTCCCTGAGGAAGAGCAGACACATGGTTTGCATTTACTCACCGGATCTAAAAGAGGAAGGCAGTCAGCCTCAGACAGATGCTGAGGGGGGGTCAGGAGGGCAGAGGGGAGCAGCTGATTGATTAATCATGAGAGTAATAATAACATCAGTAATTTATTATGTGCTTATCGGCACCCAGCTCTAAATACACCCCCTCATTGAATTCTCAAAACAACCCTTTGAGGGGGGTTCAATTACCATCCCCACTTTAAGAACAAAGGCACTAAGACTGAGGAGGTCATTCTTATCCAAAGTCATTTGACTCAAAAGTGGTAAAGCCAAAATCTGAACTCAGGCAGCCAAATTCCAGGAGTGATGCCGAAAGGGACTTTGCCACTTTGCCTTCTTAGAAGCCAAAGGCCTTCCATAAAGTCCAGCTTCTGCCAGAAGCAGTCAACACATGGCAACCGTCATTCCCAGGATAGGTGAGAGATTCTTGCCCTTCTCTGGACACAGGTGACTGACTGGTCAACCTGGTTAGTCAAGACCGTTGGCCTTGGGGGACTCCAGGCAAGATGCTTATAAGTGAGTCAACTCCAGTCCCTCTGCGTCAGGAGGTAAGCTGGTGAGAAACTGGCATGCACAGCAAGCCACAGGGCCCACAGAGCTCACACTTGTCCCTTCTCCCCTATTCACAGATTCCTCTGTCCCAGGCCCGAGCAATTACCTGGGATACTCAGTGAGCGGTGCCCACTCATTCCCATCTGGGAAGCAGAACAAGGGGATGGCTCCGAGCAGCCGCTCCTCCTCCTCCTGTTGGCCCCGAAGCAGGTTCTCCCGCTAGAAGGAACGGGAAAAGAAGCCAGTGAATTGTGGAGGCCGCGGCAGGCGGAGAGGGCCTGAGCGTTGGCAGGCTTCTTTTTGAGGCTCTAGATCAGTGTGAGAATAAGCCTTCCTGCTGGCATGGGGGCTCAAGTGTACCTCAAAGTCACTCAGCACAGGGACTGCAGTCTGGGGCTGGACCCACCCCGGGGCTGGAACAGCCCCTCCTAGGCCAAATCTACACGAGCCTGAGTTAGACATCAGGATCCTAAGGACCCACATAGGCAGGAAGGGGGCCAGGGCCTCACTGAATACAAAAAGGCCCAGAGGCTGCCTGGCCTCCTGGGAGGGCCACGTGAGAGAGCTACCATATCAGAGAAGAGAAGTGGCCAGCTCAGCTGTCGAACCGTTGGGGTTAACAAGAAGGATGCCCTATCCCCACCCCTTACCCTAGCCCAGGCGCAGACAAGAAGGAGCCTGGTGTCTGGGCTGTGGCCATAGGCTGAGCCTGCCCACCAGCGGTAAGCCGGCCCCACCCTCTCCTTCCCACCCACCCCAGGGAGGGGAGGCCTGCAAGGAGGTCTGGCAGAAGGCAAGCCTCTCTACAGAGAAGGGTGACTGAGGAAAGAATTTGGAAGAATGAGGAGGCCCCAAAAGGGGCAGAAGAACCCGCCTCGTTTCCCGGCTAGGGAGCCCAGGTCAGTTCCTCACAAAGAAGCCAGACCTAGATCCTGTGGGTGGTAACAGGAAACCGGGGTGGGCCTGAAGAAAGGAGCACTGAGCACAGGGCAGCTCTAGACTCAAGCCCCGGCAGGGTGGAGTGGGAGAGAGGCTCCTCTCCCTACCCCCACTGCCTCTCAAACACCCAAATCCTGTCTCCCGCTGCCCCCTCCTTCCAACCTTACCTTGGGAAACTGGTAGGTGATGGTGGGCTCATAGTCAGCCCCCGAACCCTTTTTTTTGAGGGAAACCACGAGGAGGTATTCAAAGAAGTGTTGCCCTCCAGCAAAGGGGGGCAGACAGTGCTCCTGGGCCCTTTCTGGCTCCTTTACAGCGTCCCTCAGATTGTCCTGGAGAGATCCTGAAACCAAGACACCAAGGCCCACTTGGTATCTCAGTGGCCCGTGCCCCAAGGGGTCTGTGTGGTCCCAGGCAACCTCTCCCCTCGGGGCTGCCATGCCAACGCCAAGGTCCCCGGAGCCTACCCAGCGACCCAGGGCCTGGCACAGGCTGAGAGCCACCCGGGCAGTTTTCGTGCCTGCCCTGGGAGATTTCTGAAAGCGCAGGGAGCCAAGAGGAGGACAGAAACCGCTGGTGTGGAAACCAAGGACATGTACTGGGGAGCCACTCGGGAGGCCCTCTGCCCCAGAGGCAGAGACTGTGCCCACCCAGAGGCGCCCAGGGCAGGACCTGAAGCAGTAAGCCCTGAGTGGACACGGACCTGAATCAGAACAGGTCCCGGGGCCGTGTGTCTGTGGCCACACCAACCCCGTGGACAGCACGACCAGCTCTGAAATCTGATAGGGGAAGCATCCCGGCCTCCTCACATGGGGGACCAGGTGGAGGTCAGGCTATAGAGACTCTACAGGAAGAGAAGGAAGAAGCAAACAGCCCATCGGAGGGGTCACCCTAGAAAACAGGAATTGGGCAATCCAGTCCAGACCTGCTCGGAGTCGAGGCAGCCGGTTGCGGAAGAGCCTGAGCATCCGGCCTACCACTTGTCCTTCCATCTTCTCCAGCCTGGGGTGAGGGTGGGGGGGGCAGGTGCATGGAGCGCTTCCCCTTCCTCCAGCACAAGCTGGCTACAGAAAGCCTGGGAGAGAGGCTGCCGCTTCGGTCTCCAGACACAACTCCATGCAGCCACTCCGTGTGCTGCCTTCCAGATAGGGGAGAGCAGCTTCCATGCTGAGCACCCAATGATTGAGCAAGAAGGATGTGACGGGACCCAGGAAGGCGGTCGAACACCCGCGTTGATAGAGGCAGCATCCTGGCACTGCAGCTCTGACCTCAGCTCCTCCCAAGAGCCCCAAGGTGTGGCAAGAAAAAAGGTCATGAGCAAACACCTCTAAGGCCCAGCTGCTTCTGGGCTAAGGGCTGTGAATCCTGTGCTGCAGTCTGCGCAGTGGGTTTATTTACAACCTCGGGACAGTGAAGAATGCCCAGCAGCAGCAGACTGTGGGCACTGGAACCTCACCAGCCCCAGGACAGGGATCTGATATCCCCGTAACTCTGACTCCTGACCTTTCACATCTCAACTTGATTCACTACGGCCAAAAAGCCCTGCAAGGCCCCCCTGCTGCACGCTGAAGCTTCCAGAACTGCAGGACTGCAAGCAAGCGCAGGGGACCAAACCTTCCCCACAGCCCTTGATTAAGATAAAAAGACTCGGCCCATTAATTCTCTACATGGAAAATTTTCTCTAGCAGGAGAGTTCTGGAAATAGATCCGAACCTAAAACCCTCCTCTCCTGGAGGTAAAAGAAAGAGCAAACCCATCTCTGAGCTGAAGAGTTCCTGATATGTCAGGATGATCTACAGTGGTGCATCTCTCACCACCCACAATATATCCTTTTTTTTTTTTTAAGATTTTATTTATTTGACAGAGAGTACAAGCAGGGGAATGGCAGAGGGAGAAGGAGAAGCAGGCTCCCTGCTGAGCAGGGAGCCCTACGTGGGCTCAATTCCAGGACCCTGGGACCATGACCTGAGCCAAAGGCAGACACTTAATCAACTGAGCCACCCAGGCGCCCCCCTGCAATATATCCTAAGACTGACTTCTCTCAAGGGACCGGCTCCAGAGCTCCCGCAAAGAATCCCTCTTCCCACATAGGAAGCACTGACTCAGGACATTCTCCCTGGCCCCCAGTAGGGGACTAATTGCATCAGCAGCCTGAGGCTCACTCAGTGGAAAGCAACTGGGGTGATCCCTGCCCCACCCCCACTCCTGCTCAGTCTTTTTCGCCTGTTGGGTCAGGTCAATAGTTCTGCCCAAGCTAAGAGCAGAGCAGCTGGCCCCCTGGGCGCTAGTGGTGTCTCCAGGCTGTGTCTGGAGGCTGGGGAAAAGAGAAAAATAGCAATAAGTCACCTGGGATTTTCACGTAAATTTCTGAGTGAGTAAATGCATGGGGTAAGAGCCAGGAGGCAAAAGCGTTTGGTGTCCGTTGTCTGCCACTCCAGCAAAGAATTTGCAGCCTTCTGGCAGAAAGTGGGTTGCTGGAATAGGGGGAGACAGCTGCCTTGTTCCTAAGAGCTCCAGACCAGGCTTCTTTGGGACTAGCAAGAGCCAGTACTCAGGGGCCCAGACATGACTCCTGGGGAGAACCCCAATCACAGTAAATAAGGATGTCACAAATGCTGTAATGATGAGGACAATGACCCAGAACACTCAGAACTGTCACCACGCCTTACAACCTACACAGACTTGTTGCATAATCCTCACCACCTGTCTGAGGAACAAGTATCTTCCTGATACAGATGGGGAAACTGAGGCACAGAATAACTCAGGGACTATTTAGGGACTATTAACAGAGTCTGTTTGGAGTAGGAGTTATGACAGTTCCATGTCTACGCTCCCGGCTTCTGGATGCAGTACACACCAAACATCCCACCAATGTGGGGTGCCTCCTGTTTGCAAGGGTCTTTGAGAACCCAAATCTTTTCACTGGTCATTCCAGAATCTCAGGAAATTATTCCTTTCCCTAAACCCTTTGGGTTGCATTTTCAGCCCATTTCCTCCTGCTTTATCAGGAGAGCCAGGAGAACAGCAAAACTCATAAAATCAAACAAAAGAAGTTACTAGACTTTTGGGCTGAAGCCCAAGAAATCCAGAAAAAGATTGCTTTCTTCTTCCTTTCAAAGAGGTTTATCAACAGAAGAGAAAAGCAGAAGAGAAAACACTCCATCCTATTAATGTAGGTCATCTCATTTAATCCCCAGGGCCCTGGAATGAAATTCCTGTCCTGAGTTTTTTAGCTGAGGAGGGAGTCACCCTTTCTAGGGAAGTCAGGAGTCTGGTTACACTTGTTCCTCCACCAGGAAGCCCCTCCCACAGGCACCCGAGTAAAGTTATAGAACCAGCTAGAATATAGGTGAGGGGACTCTCTGGAACTTTGATTTGGAAAGCTGGCCCTTCCTTTTCTAGTTCAGCTGCTCCCAACTCAGGACCACCACCACTGCCACGTCTTCCCACCAGGATGACTTACACACACATATACACCCACACACACACACACCCTCTTATCACACAATTGCCCTGAGGCCAAAAGGGCAAAAGAAGATGGGGAATTCCCCAGAAAGGTGGAGGGTGTTATGGAAGATGAGGAGGGCACACTCTCCTGGCCTGACAGGTGGCTGACCTCGGGACAGGTAATCCAGGCGGCTCATCTCACAGCTACTCCGTGCCCAGGAAGCAGCTCCAGGCACAATCATCAGCCCAGTTTGGGGGCTGGGGTGGGTGAAACAACTGGAATGTCTCCTCTGGGCTGCAAAAGGCAGAACTCTTCCATTCACACGGATTTCTGAGGGTTAAGGGAGCCCAGGAAAGACCAGGCCAGTACTCTCCGGAGAAAAGAGGACAGACACCAGGCGCGCCAGAGTAGCTGAACTCTTTTCCAGCCATTGCAGTTCCAGGCCCTGCCCCCACTCTGGTCTCTGACCTCTCTGCCTTGAAATGACCAGATACTGTAAGCCTTGGGTTTAGGGTTCAGAACAGCAAGGACTGGGAGTTGGGGGGGGGGGGTAGGAGTGATGGTAGAAGGGGCGCTGATCTCGGGCGCCTGGGTGACTCAGTCGTTAAGCGTCTGCCTTCGGCTCAGGTCATGATCCCAGGGTCCTGGGATCGAGTCCCACATGGGGCTCCCTGCTCCGCAGGAAGCCTGCTTCTCCCTCTCCCACTCCCCCTGCTTGTGTTCCTGCTCTCGCTATCTCTCTCTCTGTCAAATAAATAAAATAAAATAAAATAAAAATCTTAAAAAAAAAAAAAGAAGGGGCGCTGATCTCATTTCCAGATCTCCCCAGTTCGGCGGCCTGGAGTAGGAAGGGGTCTCGCTAAACTTTTTGACTGCCAACGTTAGAAAGCTGGGAACAGCCCCGATTTACTTTCCAATCGGCTCCTTTCTCCTCGGTAGGTTGGGAACTCTGGGCCAAGTATCTAAGGGTTACTGCTGCCCAGCCACAGGACTGGCTACTGGCAAGCCGAAATAAATGTTTGTTGAATGAATGAAAACATGAAGGAACTCCTAATCGCGTTCTTGCAAACCCCAGTGCCCCTGCTAAGAAGAAAGGGAACGAAGGAACAGTGACTTCTAACCGAATCCCCACCGAATTATTCTCCCCTCACCTGGCGGGGGGGGGGGGGGGGCGGGAGGGGCGGGTGTCAGGAGCCCGGGGAGGCGTGCCCTGTCTGGTCCGCACACTCTAAGGCAGCAGCCGAGCAGGCTCTGTCCCAGGTCTGCTGGGGGCCACGCTCTCCCCGGCCCCGCCGCCCGCAGGTGTGAGTGGTCACGTCGGGGAGCTGAGCGGCGGGGCGGGGCTGAGGCTCCCGGAGGGCGCCTCAAGAACACTGCGGTCGCACCACAAACTTCCTGCTTGGAAGGACACGTGGCCCCGGGGCCCCACAACTGCTTCCTTTGGCCCGCCGCCTCCCCCCTCGCCCCCAGGGGCCTGGCCGCTCCTCTGACCTCCGACCCCCGCCGCCGCCACCCGGCCCCGTCCCCTGCACCTGCGCCATCCGCCACTCCGGCTCACCTGGCGCCGGGCCTGCGCTCCTAGAGGCCCTCGGACTCCCCCGGAGCCGCCCCCCGCGCCACGCTCCCCCAGCCCCCGCCCCGCCAGCCTCGTGGCCCCGACCTCGGGCGTCCGTGCCGCCCCCGCGCCCCGGCCCCGCACTGACCCCCGCGGCCGCGCTTCAGTCTCAGGCTGGCTCGGAGGCGGCGGCCGAGCCCGTCCATGGCCCGGCGAGTGCCCGGCGCCCGTCCCGGGTCCGCACCGGCCCCGCCCCCAAAGCTCGCCCTTCGCGGGCCCGGCACTTTCGCTTTCACGCGGGGGGAGGCCGAGGGCACAGGCCCGGGACGAGGCGGCGCACCTTCCGGACTGCGGGCCAACCCCCGGCGCACCTGGGCGGGCCGGCTCTGCCCTCGGCCCCCCGGCGGGGTGGCGTGGGGTGACAGAGGGCGCTCGACGCGCGTCCGGGAGGGGGCGGCGCCACCGCGCTCCCACCCTCCGTGGGGCGCCCCGGGAAGTTTGACTTGCCGAAGCCCGCAGTCCCCAAATGCGCGGGTGCGACGCGGTCACGCCCTACCTCCGCGGCGGGGGCTGGGAGTGCCCTCTGGGCATCGGTGCCTCTTCCAGGTGGCTCCGGACTTACCTCAGCGGGCAAAGAATTCTCAGAGTCAGCACACCCTTCCACCTTTCATCTCTCTCCACCCCGCAACCGCTTTAGCCTCTGACCATTTCCAGATCTTTTGCCTTCTGTGTCCTTGCACCCGCAGGGCACGTGTCCCTCGCTCTTTTCCCTGTTTCACTTCCCTAAGAACGACAGCAAGCCAAGGGCTGCCCTTTGGGTTCCCAAGGAGGGACAGGAGAGGCGCTTAGAGTTCTGACCCTGCCTTCCCTCCAGAGTGTTCTTGGGCAAATCAGCGAAGTGGGGGGGTAATTCCTGCCCTGCCACCCCACAGAGATGTGAAAGCTAAGGAACAGAAAGCTCTTTGTAGACTCTTACGTGATACAAATGTAAGGGATGATGATGGGGGGGGGGGTGATGATGATGATGATGATGTCAGTTGTAGCTGTCCACACTCGTGGTCTAATCCAAAATCCCCAAACAACCTTTCAGCTCCTCCTCCACCCTTCTTATATTCATTGGCTTCCAAACACACAGAGACTTCAAGCTTTAGTGGTCAGACATGAAAATTTGCATCTGATAAGCCCCACTTGCTTCTGGGCCATCTGCAGGACTCCCCTCTCCCTTCCAGACCTGCATCTGTAGGGTGGGAAGGGTGGAGGGTGTGCAAAGTCCATCTGATGTGTCTCCATTCACAGAGGTTTTAGCCTCAGTTTCAGTGTGGGAGGCAGAGGGCAGAAGACACAGCCAGAGATATGTCTGGGATCTATAGAAATGACCCTCAGACCTACCACTCCTTTCCCTCTCCCATGAATGGCCTCCAGGTACCTCTTGTGTCACAGACAGGGTGGGTGAGCAGGAGTGGAGAATCCAGCCCTAGTATTAAACTGTCTAGTCTTTGCCAGGAGGTTCTAAAAGTTGTCTGTACTCTGGGCCTATGCAATTTTGTACTTAATTACATGGTCTGTTTCTGTTCCCTATTCTCTGTGTGTTACACCCACACACAAGGACACATTTCTTCCCCAAGTGTCTTCTCTTGGCTGCCCTGGTGTCCTATGCTTCTCTGTGTAAGTATAGTGGTTGTTCATGATCAACTTGTCCGGTTGGTTGAATATTATTGTGCCTTAATTTTCCCAACCTATTTTATGGTGGTGCCAACCAAATTATTTCCTTCCCTTAAGAACAGAAGAAATACGTGCACATGCACACTAAAAAGACATGCACGAATGTGCATGGAAATCCTATTTGAAATAGCCTCAAACTGGAAATAATCTCAAATGTCCCTAAACAGTGAAATAGATGGATTGTGGCACATTCTTACAATGGAATACTATACAGCAGTGAAAATGTAAATAAACCCCCGTTGCCGGCATCACACAAATGTGATGTTGAGCCAGAGACCCAGATACAAAAGAGCACATAATGTAAGTTTCCATCTACACAAAGTTAAAAAACAAGCAAAACGAATACATGGTATGAGAAGCCAGGATGATGGTAGATTTATGAAGGAAGGAGGAAGTAATGATTGGAAGAATACCATAGGGCTTCTGGGGTGCTGGGAATGTCCTAATTCTTTACCTAGTGGCAGATACATAGATGTGTTCACTGTGTGAACATTCTTTGCATTGTATACTTCCATGCATTTTTCTCTCTATATATGAGTTTAATTTAATTTTATTCATTTTAAAAAAAGATTTTACTTATTTATTTGAGAGAGAGAGAGAGAGAGAGTGTGTGTGTGTGTGTGTGGTGAGAGAGAGAGAGAGAGAGAGAGCTGGGGGGAGATGGAGAGGGAGATAGAATCTGAAGCAGACTCTGTGCTGAGCAAAGAGCTGGATGCGGGGCCGGATCCCACAACCTCAAGATCATGACCTGAGCCGAAACCAAAAGTTGGCTGCTCAACCGACTGAGCCACCCAGGTGCCCCTATATGAGTTTAATTTTAAAAGATTTTTTAAAATACTCATTAGGACCTTAGGGTGACATAAATGGAGATATAAGGCAGTTGAGAATGAGGAAGTACAGATAACATTAGGAAAGTTAATTGTTGCTTGGTTAGAGGGACATATGGGTTTGAAATGGTGGGTTAAAATGGGACAGATTAGAAGGTATTTATAAGCCTAGGGATGGGAACAGCAGGGACGAGATGTAAAGTATGAGAGTGGCAGGTGGATCAAGGTCTGAGAGGAGGGGAGAAGGCGTAGGTACAAGATTGGCTTCAAAAGGGAAAAGAGAACTTTATTTGAAGGGGAAAACAGGAGATGAGAATGGGTATGGATGCTGATTGATTTGTAGGTCAGAAAGTGGGAAGTTACAGGATAGAAAAAGACACCTCAGTTTCTGCTAAGAGAAAAGGTTTCTTTCCTCTTTTCTTCCTGTAACTGCCATTCCCCACATTATTCCACAGGTTATTCTCCCAGAGTTTGGAGGGGAAGCAGAAGAAAATGACATGAGCCTTTCTTTCTTGACGGTCTTGAAAGGAAGCTCCCAAGTGAGTTTTATTTGGGGAGGTAACGTGGCAGAATGGACTGACATTGGACTCAGCCCTACCTGCCGCTTACTTGCCCTGTAGCCTGAGGTTGGCATTCCCCTGAGCCTCACTCTCCTCTAAGATAATAAAATCACCTTGCAGGGGGGTTGTGAGCACTAGAAAGAATACACTGTAATCTGAATGTCCAAACCTCACACATCACTTTAATGCCCCAAATCACCGTAGTCTCCACTCTGTCTCTTTTCATTGCAGAAGTACTGTCTTTTACCAGGCTCCTGTTTCCAGGTATTCCTGAGAAACCCTTAAGAAGTGTTTACATGCTCTACAGACCAATTCTGGTAGCTGCTTGTCATCATCATAGGGATCCAAACTACTACCCTCTCCTTCCACAGTTATGCCCATTTGCCTCAAGACAGACTGCTGCTCTCCCCATGCCATTTTGCCCAACCTAGAGATTGATCCTATCTCCAGTTCCATACAGTGATTGCTAAGATCAGGAAAGAAGGTTTGTTAAGACTTTGCTGAAGGCTTAGTGATACGAGATGGATATTGCCAACGAGGGAAGTTAAAAGTGAAGTATCACTGCTTTTGGGGTCTGCAGCGGGGTCCTCTCCTGGATACTTCTCTGCCTGCCCTCACACCCACCCCCATGCTCCAGGGGCCAGCTGACCTAACTGCAGTGGAAATGCTCTGGAGTCCAGCCCTGCCTCCATATTCACATGTTCTAGAATTATCGACGATGACAATGTTTATTACCTTCAGGGGAGAATGCGGACCCATACACAGGATGTGATCTTGCCCTTTGGCACAAAGACACCAGAACAACAGCAAAATCAAAAACCACTCCAAAGGAGGGCTCTCTGGTACAGAATAACATTATCAATAGTCCCGTGCAATTCCTCTTCATAGCTTGAGGTGAACAGAAGCTCAACTATCTAGCCTTCAAACCATCTTGAAGCTTTGGCCTCTGATCTCCTGTGATAAATGACTTGGACAATAACCCATACATTCACCAGGAAAAAGCAATGGTGGCCAGGATTTGTAAAGGATGTCTGAATAATGGAAATAAAGATGACCTTTTATGTTACACAAAGAGCTTCTGAAGCCAAAGTTCTCAAATCTCTCTCTTTTAGACAAGAGTCTGTGCTCTCTCTTTGCATAACCTTGACCAAACCTTGACCCTCCCCCATGTAAATCAGATCTTCCTGTTACAGCCTCAATTCACACAATTTCCCTTGTTTCTGTAAAAGCACTTATAACAATTTATAGTTACACATATATTTCTGAGATTATTCAACCACTCTCTCCTTTTCCAGAATTTTCCCAAAGAGGCATTAGTCGTGTCTCTTTTGCCTAACTCTGTGTCCCAGGTGCACACGAGGTAATCAGTAAATATTTGAGTGAATAAATGAATGGATGAATCAAAGGATAGTCTGCCCTAAACTTCCATCTCTAAGGAGACAGGAAATTACTTGAAACGTTTTTATTCTTCTGGGTTCTACTCAGGGCAAACACTTAGGTTGCTTAACACCCATTCTGCCTTTTATCTTTGCTGGCAGTCTTTGGCCAGAGTTGTATCACGTGGGCGGAATCTGATCATAGAAGTCCCAGTCTCCTTTCTTGACCTTCATTTATAGTGGGCATGAGACTCAGCTCTGACTAGTAAGGGGATATCTATTCTAGTCAAGGGGCAATCTGCTGGGGATGTCTGGTACAGGTTTCTCTAGAAGGGATGGTGTTTTTCTACCTCTGGACATCACTGCGTTTGGACATGACAGAAGCTGCTGGGATGAAGCCAGCACATGCGCAGAACGAGGCTAACATGCTCT